ATATAACAGATGAGGAAACACATGAGATCCAGTATACAGAGGTTCCAGGTAATGTTGAAAACACTGAGAGGATAATTTAGGCTTTAACTGCTATATATTTCATCAGGCAACCAAACTGAGGAGACTGACTCAAAGCTGCAAAGAAAAATGAAAAAACTTTTTCTTTGGAAAGTTTTTCTTTGAGAACAAAATAAGGAACAAGAGATGGCCTTTGTAGCTCAGCAACAGGTAAATAATCATCTAAGCAATAACAAAAGACCAGAGATTACCTTCCCTGAATAACCTAAAATTGTTGCTGGACATAGAAATACCTTGTGTTTGAGGAGAAACTTTTTCTAAAGTGTTACTATAAAATTAGAACTAATTTATGGTTAAAACTTTATTTCCTGAAGGAATAAATATCTAACACCTGACATATGGGTGACTCAGATTGTCACTGTTTCCATTTTTGGCATCCATTTAACAAATCTTAGAAAAGGCTACATGTACAAATGAACAGTCTTTCCCCAACATGGTGAAGAAATATCTATTCAATTATGGTTTGCACTGCAGCCTCTGTCATTTGCTTTCCTCTGACCAGTCCTAGTTGGGCACGGCATAGTATACAATTGGGCCCATTCAAATAATTTTCTCTACTATATATTTATAATACATGGAACATTGCCATGGCAAGTCAAGCAATCTCATTGCCCAAAGCAGCTGTAGGCTAAAAGAATGTCTGGGCTTGCAGAGACAGATATTTTGGAGGCTTATGTTGTGTGGGTAGAGTTGTGAGGCTTCTTGTATTGGTGTTCAGTTACATCATCTAGAATTAAATGCTGAGGGATTTGCCATTCAGTGCTTTCTTATACCTGAACTTTTCTCTGCGTATCCCTTGACTGGACTACACTATAGGAAATTTACACTCAACCTTAGTATTCATTCTCTCACTGGGGAAACCACCCAAACAATGTTTTGATGAAAATAAGTGAGTGAGTGATATACCATTCCTTCCTCATAAATCAAGCAGACAGTTTTCGAGGACAGAGACTGAGACGAAATAGGATTGGTGCATTCCCTAATAGATGATTTTCTGTCATTTACTAGACTTTAAAAAAGTCTTGTTATAGGTAGATACCTTAGCAGAAATTTCTACCTACTTTATAGAATTTATTTGTATTCAAATGCCATGTTCTGGCACAAGGGCTTTTGAGAAACTAGGCAAAACCACTAATGAAAAGTTTCCAAAATTGGAGGGTTTAAAGATAAAATACACTTAATGGTTTTCACTCAATTTCTCCTTTCTTTAAAAGGACCTGAAAAGTTACAAATATTGAATTCTACAGGGTAAAGATATCTATCCTTAGAACAAAGTTGTTGGTATGCATTTCAACTGTTCAAATTATTTATCATAATAAACAACCCTGGCTTTTTCTTTAGTGATTTAATTTCATGTGAGATATTGTATTGTGTGAAACATAACATGTAGTTTTCAGGATGAGAGATACTAAATTTCATGGAGAAGTTATTTACACCAATTGTGTACTCTAAGTTCAGTGGGAGGCTTCTGGTTCTGGACAAGATAGAAAACAGAGACTGCATGTACTATCCTACTGAAACAAAACAATAAGAGTAAACCTATGAAACAAAACAATAAGAGTAAACCTATGAAGAGTAAACCTCAAAACTATGTCATAGTTTTGAGACAATGGACATCAGGTAGTGAAGCACAGTAATCCCTGAGAGAAATGAAACAAATGAGCAAGACCCTAAGCAGGGTAGACAGCCATGTGAAGATGGAGGCTGGATTGGGGTGGTATACCTACAAGTCAAGAAATGCCAAGGATTTCTGGCAACTTCCAGAAGCTGAGAGAGAGGCATAGTACAGTTTATCTCTCAGAGTATCTAGAGGCAACCAATCATACTAATAATACCTTGATTTTGGGTTTTTGGTCTCCTGAACTGTGAGATAATAAATTTTTGTTATTTTAAGCACCAGTTTGTGGTCATTTGTTATGGCAGCCCTAGAAAACTGATACACACAGGTGCTTAAAAAAATAATCAATAGTGCATCAGTGAACTGTGGGAAACTTCAAGCAGCCTCATATGTATGTACTTGGAATTGTCAAGGGAGGGGACTAAGAGGGAGGAATAAAAACATTATTTGAAGAAATAACAACTGACCTAGAGATCCAAGAAGCTCCACAAAGTCTAAGCACAAGACTTACGAAGAGTGAACACCATGATAAAACAGTAATAGAAAATATTAAAAACAAGGATAAAGGGATAAAATTAAACCAGTGATAAAAGAAAAATATTAAAAGCATTCAGTAAAAGAAGATACATTATGCCCAGAAGAATAAAAGTATTCTTTATTGACACAAAGAATGCCAATGACATTTTATATCCTTGTTGACAATGACACAAGACTTCTTGGTGGAGTGATGGCAGACTTCTTGTTGGAAACATCGCAAGCCAGAACGCAGTGAAGCAGCATTTGCAGTGCTGAAAACAAAAATCTGCCAACTTATAGTTGCACGCCAAATAAGCACACTTTTCATAAATAAAGGCAAAATACATTTCAGAAACACAAAAGCTGAAATAACTTATCATTGACAGACCTACATTATAGGAAATGTTAAAGAAGAAAATGATAATATGGAAATCTGGATCTATAAAAAGGATTGGAAGAACACTAGGAAAGGTAAATATGTTGTAAATATAGGACTTTTTTTGTTATTTTTAAATCTCTTTAAAAGATAACTTACTCTTTAAAGCAACCATCATAACAACATATGTAGGATTTATAACATATGCAGGAACAAAATGTATGAAAACAATTGCACAGAGACCAGAAGGAGAGAAATGAAAGTATGCTGTTGTAACAGTCTTGTGCTATATGTAGTTCCCCCTAAACCATGGGGGATATGTTCTAAGACCCTCAGTGGATGATTGAAACTACAGATCTTACTGAACACTATATATATTCTATGTTTTTATCTATAATACCTATGATAAACTTTAATACATAAATTAGCACAGTAAGAGATTAATAACAATAATGAATAATAAAACAGAGCAATTATAACAATACACTATAATAACTATTATGTGAATCTAGTCTCTCTCTCTGATAACCAATGATAACTAAAAAGCTACTAAGTAACTAAAGGGTGGGTTAGGGTTAGGGATATGCTAGACAAAGGGAGACTGATGTACTGAGCAGGACAGAGCAGAGAGCATAGATTTCATCACACAACTCAGAATAGCTTACAATTTAAAACTTATGAATTGTTTATTTCTGGAATTTTTTATTTAATATTTTTAGACCACAGGGGACCGTGGGTAACTGAACCTAGGAAGTGGAACCTCAGATCAGTTGGGACTACATAAATGAAATCATATAATATTACTTGATTGTAGGCTATGATAAGTAAATCCTCAAATAACCATGTACACACACAAACTGTAATAAAGAATTATAACTAATATGACATCATGGAGATAAAAGAAGTCATAAAGATCAATCCAAAAATTAGAGAAGGCAGAAAAAAGAAAATAAAGAGTACAAAGAGCAGTTTGGCTAAATAGAAATAAAACAAGATGGTGAAGTTAAACCCAACCACATTAATAGTCATATGAGATGTAAATGGTCTATAGGAAGACTAATATATAATATACAAATAACTTAAAAAATGAAAATGGAAAAAGAAATACCATGCTAACACTAATAAAAAGTAAAATATAGTGGTTATAATGGTATCAAAGAAGGTAGGTCTCAGAGCAAAGACCAATATCATGAATACAAAGGCTCATTTCATAATGATAAAGAGGTCAACTCTTAAGGGGACATAACAATCCTAAATGTTTATGTGCCTAATACCAGACTTTAGAACTCATGAAACAAAAACTGATAGAACTGAAAGGGAAAATAGACAAGCCCACAGGTGTAGCAAGAGATTTCAACACTCTCTCCACATTGATAGAATAAGTAGAAAAAAATAAGGACACAGAAGACTTGAAAATTGAAGCAGAAGGAATATTTTCCTGTTTATTTTTATTAGGGCAGCATTATTCAGATACCAAAACCACATAAAGACATTACTAGAAAACTACAGACCAGAATTCTTCATAGGTATACATTCAGAAATTCTTAAAATTTCAGCAAATTAAACAGAACAATGTATAAAAAAGCATAATAAATAATAACCAATTATCCCAGGAGTGTGAAGTTGGTTTAAAATGTGAAGATTAGTGGATATTCATTTTCCCTTCTAACTCAGATACAACACACACCAATTTTCTAGGTTATTTTCCCTAGAATTGTTGTGTTCTTCTAAAAAACTGACTAAATCTAAAAAACTGTATTTTTCTGGGCGGAACAAAAGTACTTTTTAAAGACATTCTGACTTTTGTCAGGCAAGTCTTTTGGCTTTCTGTTTGTTTGTTTGTTTTTTTGTTTGTTTTTAAACAATGCCCAGCAGGATTCAATTGTACTCTTACATATTACAATTTTAAATTTCTACTGTTAAGTTTTTCCGTTGTTTTGGAAAAAAATTCCCTCCAAATTATTGGCTTAAAATGGCACACACTTATTATCTCCTGTGGTCAGGAGTCTGGGCATGGCTTAGCTGCGTTCTCTGCTTAGGATGTAACCAAGCTGTAATGAAGGTGTTGGCTGGGCTGCTTCCAAATTCACTCAGTTTGTAGGCTGGATTAATTTTTTAAAATTCATTAGAGAGAGAAAGAGAGAGAGAGAGAGAGAGAGAACAGGAGAGAGAGAAGACGGGAGAGAGAAACATTGACTTACTGTTCCATTTGTTTATGCATTCATTGGTGGATTCTTGCATGTACCCTAACTGGGGATGGAACCGTCAACTTTGGTGTATTGGGTCAATGCTCTAACCAACTGTGCTACCCAGTAGAGTCCTGCTGAGTGTTTTGAGAGGGCACTGGCTATGAAAGGTAAGAAATCACTACAAGTGCATATTCTACCCTTCATTTGATCTGTTGTGTCCCTCGAGGGGTGCACCTTCCTTGAAGTCTTGGAATACTAGGTTGATGTGCAGAGTGCATGGAGCAAGCTATTTCATCTCCCTGTTACAAAAATACATTTAAGATATTGTCCATGGATAGAGGACGCATCAGATATTAAACCGAAAAGAACAGGTACTACACTTGATCTTAGCTAAAAAGCTGAGAAGCAATGGCTGGATTAATTTTTTTGTGACTGTAGAACTTAGGGCTCTGGCCTCTTGCAGGCTGTCTGTTGGAGGTCACCTTCAGCTCCTAGCAGCTGCCTGTAGGTTCTTGAGGTTTCCCACAGGTTTCTGCTATGAGGGCTTTCCCAACATAACTGTTCCATTCATAAAGGCAAAAGGAGAGCCTCTAAATCTGCTAGCAATACGGAGTGGTATATAACATAATGTAACCACAGGAGTGATAGGACATTCCATTATCTCTGTAATATTCTATTGGCTAGAAGCCTACACCCAAGGGAAGGAGGTCAGTCAAAGTGTGTCCATGCTGAGTCAATTCATAGACTGCCTGCAAATAGGCAGCAAGAGACTCTTTTAAAAAAATTGAAGCAGTAATAAAATAAAAATAATTATAAATCAAGTAAATAGAGAGATGTAGGAATCTGACTAAACAGTTCATTGGTTGGGTTCAGAAATCATTTAAAGCACTGTAGGTTTGATTAGCAATGGAAGTTAATTTATTTAACATTCAGACTTTTATTATTCTCCAATTATTTCCTGTGTAAATCTCATCTTTCAAATTTAGGGGTACATTCTCAAAGGCAGATACCATTTTCTATTTTTTTGGTATTCACAGTATCTTTTGGCATATTAATGAGAACAAGTATGAATTCAGTAGTGTTATTTGAATGTTTACAAATATACAGTGAATGATTTTATTGCACATGTAAAAACAAAAGTGCTGAAAAAAACACCTATTGGTCAATAAAACATTAATTGATTGAGTTCAGCTCAATTGGGTTTTATAAAAATAATGCAATTTGCTTGATTAGGATATACCTTTAAAAACTTCTATTGGAAAAAATTCAAACATAATATTGTAAGAGTTTATGTTATAAAAAATTTTGAGTTTTAGAAAATTAAATTATTTAATGAATTAGCAAAAGTTCAAGATTATTGTTACAAAATGTCACTCATTTATTTACATTCCTGTATTTTTTTTAAAAAGAGAAAATTTTTGCATTACTAGAAAATTCACTTGAGCCATGGCTCACCCCATCTATGTTCAAACCTATCATGAATAGTCACATTAATTTGCTTTAAATAAGTTTTTATTATGAAGAATTTCAAGCATGCAAAAGTGAAGGAAAATAGTATCATGAAATCCTCATGTACAGCAATCATTGTGCTTCAGGTATTATCAACACATGGATAATCTTGTTTCATCTATACCCTCACCAGCTTCTCTATCATGTTGAAACCAATCTTATACATTATATAACTTCATTTACAAATACTACAATATGCATCTCTAAAATATATTTTTCATCGTTATACTTAAAAGTTAATAGAAATTCCTTAATACATCAGATATTCAACCGGTGTTCAATTTCTCCAAATTAGTTCATATTTAAAATACAATTGCTTTGAGTTAGATTTCAAATGAGGTCCACGTGTTGTACTTACTTGATATATTTCTTAAATCTCTTAATCCCCATCTCTTATTTATTTGTTATGTTTTGGTTTAGATCCTTTAAGGGAATTCCTATCTTGAAAATGGTTAGAGATATTGGAAAGATACCCAGTCTATTCCATCACTTTCACATCAAGCAAGATCACACCTAAACTATCTTGGACAGAGAGGCACTGACTGATTTTGATGAAATCAGCTCGGTTGAGGTCCCTTCCACATTGAGATATCTGAGACTATGGAGTTCCTTTGCTGAGGGGGGCTATCTAAGAGAATTTAATGTGCACAATAGATTGAACTGCTGGAATGACCTCTTACTTCCTTCAACTTCATTAACTAAGATTCACTTTTGCTACCAACCTGACAAGAGGTTTTCTTTGTTAGATACGAGAGGTTACTATGAAAGTACAAAGAACTCTTCCTAATGGAAGAATTTGTCCGGTGATGATGTATCCCTTCTGTGGGTCTCTGAAGTTCCAACCTGAGACAGAAATTCACTTAAACAGTGTTTATATGCTACTTTATATAATCAAAGAGTAATTGATGTTTTTCCTTAGAATCTTGGCCAAATTCCAACCCTGATAAATACATTCTACTTCCCAAAATTTCCCCTGCAATTTCAAATGGATTATATATCTTTAATTGCTTGTCCCAACCTGTTGCTTGGTGTTGAAGTTCACCTATTAAGCAGCTGTTGCTTTTGGCTCCAGAGACTTGTACATTTTGGGATTTGAAGAAGGGATCTGGTAAACTTGGTAAATGAGTGTGTGTGTGTGTGTGTGTGTGTGTGTGTGTGTGTACAAACACATATATATATGAATGACTTTGAGGACTTATTACCCATTATTAAAAAAATAGGAAGAGAGAGAGAGAGAAACGTAGAAACATACAGCCATTCACTGTGGGACCTTTCATTGGTTTAGTAAACGTTTATTAAGAAGTCAGTATGTGTGAGACATTGTTCAAAGTATTGTGGGGGACACAAAGTTGAAGTAAATAATAGTTCTTGCCTTAAAAAACTATATAGTTTAGTGAAGTATATGTTTTCATAATATTAGGGAGTGCTATTACCCTTTTAAAAAGTCTTCCGATTAGTGGATAAAATCTTGAGCAAGTTCCAGACCTCTTTAATCTAAGGTTGTCTCATCTGTAAGATGGAGATAGATGTGTACCTCAGAGTGTTTTGTTAAAATTTTATGATGTCAAGTACTGAAGATATTGCTTGGCATAAAGTGTCTGGTGAACATTAGTTATTGTGGATTTTTAAATGTGCCACTTGGGTCAGCTGTTGGGAAATGTTAATACCCCTGAAGACTATTGGGTTATTCATATAGATTCAGATATCTTGACTCTCCAGATTACAGAGCCATGGATGGACAGCTCACTCTTTCCCTAAGCATCAATATTACAGGAGAATTCCACACCCAAGTGCCTAGCAGGCTCTAAATCTTTCATTTACTAGTTCTCTGGAAAAGATCATCAAAGGAGGGGAAGGAATTAGGATCCTCCTGTTCTTACCCCATTATCTAACTTAAAATCCTGAGTGGTGCTAGGGACTGAGATTTGGAAATTCAGACCTTTAAAGCTGTTACAACAGGAGAAAATAAAAACTTTACTGTTTGACATTGGCACATATTCCAAAGTCCCTCCCTGTTTAACTAGCTTTAAGCTTTCATATGAGACATAGACACTTAAGGGAAAAAGTATTGCCACAAGGCTAATGATGACAACAGCTGCCAGCGCACTTTCCATCAAAAACAAGTGAAGACTTGAAACAAATCTGAGCTCCAGTTTGTTTTAGAAGCATCATTGTGACATGCCTGTGCCGGCAGAGGCTCAGAATGCATTCCTTAACACTAGGACTCCGAGATGTGCTGGATGCCAGAAGCCCATTCGTAATGAGAGAGCAGTTGTGAAGCTTCATTCAGATGGCGTTCTTTCATAGTGGGTGTGCTGGCTCTGGAAGTTTGGTGCAGGGAGACACAAGAAGGAATGGACCGATTCCTTTCCTTCCTCAAGGGCTGTAGTCAGACTAATACATTATTTAGACCTTTATTTATTTGTTTTAAAGGTTTTATTTAATTATTTTTGGAGAGAGGAGAAGGGAGGGAGAAAGGGAGAGAAACATTGATCAGTTGCCTTTCACAGGCTCCCAACAAAGGAAGGACCTGACCCAGGCATGTTCCCTGACCAGAACTGAACTCATGACCTTTCTGCCCACAGGCTGGTGCCCAATCCACTGAGCAACACAAGCCAGGGCAGTGTACCATTTTTCTTTAGACATTTATTGAATGCTCACTGTATTCAAAGGCACTATGCTGGTGATTAAAACGTGTACTATGTGGCTGTCACATTCAAAATGACTGAGCAAGTAGAGCAAAGAATTTGCATCAAATTTTGCATTCAGCTTGAACATTTCTGTGTGGAAACTGTTGGATGGTTCAGAAGGCCACAGCTAAGGACTACTGGTGCTTGGCAGCTTCATCACAACAATGCGCCCACTGATACCTTATGTCTGGTGCAGAGTTTTTTGGCAACACATCAAATCACCCAGGTGACTCAGCCCCCCTACAACTCAGATTTGGCTCCTGCGGCTTCTGGTTTTTCCCAAAACTGAAATCACCTTTGAAAGGGAAGAGATTTCAGACTGTTGATGAGATTCAGGAAAATACTATGGGGCAGCTGAGGGCGATTGGGAAAACTATGTGAGGTCCCAAGGTGCCTACTTTGAAGGGGACTGAGGTGTCATTGTCCTATATACAATGTTTCTTGTATCTTCTTCAATAAATGTTTCTATTTTTCATATTACATGGCTGGATACCTTCTGGACAGACCTCATTATTCAAATTACTATAGTTTTCTCATTAAAAATTGTACAGGAAAGTGTAAAATGGAACACTTTTAAAGCATCAAAAGAATAAAATTGTCAACTTAGAATTCTATATACAGTACAAATATCCTTCAGAAATGAAGGTAAAATAAAGACATTCTCAGATGAAGGAAAACTAACAGAATTTATCACAAACAGATTTGTTTTGAAAAAATTACTAATTGAAGTTCTTAGGTCAGAAAGAAAATCATACCAGAAAGAAATCTGAAGCATCAAGAATGAAGGCAGAACAATATAAATGGCAAACATCTAGGTAAATATAATAGACAGTTCTTACCATTTTCAGTTTTTTAAAAATATATTTGATAGTTAAAGACACCGTAACATTTTCCGATAAGAGTTTCAATATTGTAAATCTACCCTGTACCATTTCTTCCTCTTGTACCAACTAAATATCTTTATTATCTTCGAACAATTTCCTTACTTTTCTGGTGGGGCTGCCATTCACACCACATCTTCCTTCCTAGGCACTACCCTAGTGATCTATGCTAGGCTGACTAGACTCTCTCTGCAAGGTATCTGATTCTAGACTAGAGATTCTAAAGAGTAGAAAAATCAACTAGTGCCAGGTTACTCAATGGTAGAAATTCCATAAGTTCCTACTGTTGACAACCTAAGTCTTCCCAGCTCCCTGCTGTTTCTGAGGAAC